TATATAATACAATAGTAAGGGTTGCTGAGCATAGGATAGGGGAGAGAAGGGATAAAGGAAAACTGATATCAAAGAGTTCAAGAAGAAAGAAAATGTTTTGAAAATGATGGTGGTAGCAACTGTACAATTATGTGTGATCTAGTTGAATTATGAATTGTTTTAATATCTGTAAGAGCTCCAAATTTTAAAAAATGTTTCTGCTCATGAAAAGATAAGATACCATATGGGAGAAAACATTTGTAACATATATAATCTGTATATTATGTATAGATGCATAATATATATCTAGAAACTATAAAGTCAGTAGGAAACTGACTTACTCACTCACTGAGTGCCATTGAATTGAACCTGGTTCACAGCGACCTTATAGGATATGGTAAAATAGCCTATGTGGGTTTCTGAGACTGGGCTCTTTGTGGGAGTGGAAAGTTATTTGCTCCCAAGAAACTGGCAATGAAGAAAAATATTAAATAGACCAAGATTTGAACAGGCATCTCTCAAAAAGGAGTAACATACAGCTAATATATAGCAGTCATCAAAGAAATGTATTAGAAGTATAAATACATACCAGTGCAATTCCAAAGACGTACACCATCAGTACTATAGCAATATGAAATCAGAAGGAAGCACAGCAGGTGGCTGAACATGAGAATTGTATTCTATCCTTTCTACTAATACTGACTCCTCACCAACACTGATCTGTCATTTAGTCATATTTGTGGCTTGCATATTTCTGAGAAAAAGACTAAGAAGAAAAACCTGATAATTTACCTCTGAACATTTCATGGAATGCAGTTTGGAGCCTGTCTATACTTATATAACCCCATGTTCTCAACACTGTGTTAAAGTGGATACCATTGGGTATATTAATGCCATTATTACCTTAGGACTCAGGATGATAATTGATGGTGTTCTCTGTCATTAAATTGTAATGAAGCCTGTGAACATATATAACCCTATATATGTGAGTAGATTTTGTGCTTGCACTCAATTCTAGCCCCAATCTAAGAACCAGGCGTTTTTATCACATGGTCTTGCTCAGTACTTGTGCTGCACCATAGTGTGGTGAAGAGAGCCGATGGTGCCTGGCTATCAAAGAGAATAACATCTGGGATCTCCTAGGATTTTCTTCAATTAAGCTGTCATCTTAGCGAGGTGTCAACTAAGTTTACTTGGAAGAAGCACACCAGCCTGTGTGATCCAAGGATGACAAATAATAAAATCCAAATCCAAAGGAGGGAATGGTATCAGAGCTGAAATTGTGAACATTCCATTTGCAGAAGGCTATAGATGAGAGTGGGAGGCCCAAATTTTGCAGGGTCCCTACATAGACTATGCCTCTGGTGAATCCCCTCTGACCATAATTGAGAGGTGTGAATAGCCTTGTTATCAGACAGAGAGCATTGTAAACTCAACTATGGTAGATGTAATTATGTTAAAATGCAATATCTGATCATTTGATCTCCCTTTTGAACTATGTCAAATTTGTTCTGGTTTTTAACATTACCTTTTTTCCCCCTCTATTGGGGTTTTTTTATTGAGTTTATATTGTTATTGTTGTTAGTCTTTCATTTTTGAATTTTGCTCCTTTGGGGTTTTTGTTTTGTGGCATGTTTTCAGTATATGAAATCCAAGATAAGTAAAGCTATAAAGACAGTCCCTAGATTAATGGCTTATTGGGGGCAGAAAAAGGGATGTTGGAGGGAAATGGCGAGCTAATGATGATGAGTGGAAGAAGGAAGAAAGTGTTCTACAACTGATTATAGTGATGATTATACAACTCTTTTGAGTATGACTGAACTATGGACATGTATGATACATGAGTTAAATGTCAATAAGGCTATTAAGGAAACACTGGCCAGTGAAAACCTTATGAATAACCATGGAATGTTGGCTGATATAGTGCCAAACAAGGAGCCCTTCAAGTTGGAATAAACTCAAGATCGGAAAAGACCTGCCTCCTCAAAGTAGAGTCGACTTTAATGGCATTGCAGGTGGAGTAAAGCAAGGATAGCAAGGCTTCGATCTGACAC